ACCTATTCAAGTGTGGAAGTGGGATTTGCAATTGATATGATCAGAGGCTTTCCATTCTCACCTCTTGTTTCTTTTACCTTGCAAAGAACCAGGGTACACTTAAAAGTAACACACAGGCAGAACAAGTGCTGCAATTCAACTAAGGGCCTGTTTATATGCAGGAAGCCGGGCTGGCCTGCTTAGCAAGACAGGCAGGTGGGATGAATTTCTCTTGTGTTTATATGAGAAAATTTCATCCCGCTTGCTGGTTTTGACAGTTGTTAAAAATAGCTTGCGGCGGTATCTTTTATCCCAGCAACTGGGCTAGCCCGCTTGTGAGTGTTTATATGGAGAAATTTCCACCCCGGTAAGCGAGATCTCACCTCTTTTCAAGTGAGATCTCACCTCTTTTCAAGTGAGATCTCGGCAACCTGGCCAGCCCACTTGTCCATATAAACGCACAATAATTTTTACTATAAAAATAACTACATATAGCGAGATCTCGCTTACCGGGCTGTCTCACTTAGCTGGCCAGCCCGGCTTCCATATAAACAGGACCTAAGTACCAGTCAATATAAGTCCCTGCTTGCTTGAATCTAGGAAGTGTGGGGTTCATGGGCAAAGCAGGGCCACTGAGACAAAGCCAGACATTTATACAATCCAGCAATTTTGATTATGCAGTGCTGGGAAATAAAAACTGCCTACTTCTGGGTTGGGGGAAGTGGTAATTTACATTGTCTGGTATTGTACACTGAATAGTTATGGGGTGCCATGGCTGCCAGTTCTGTTGTCTTTAAAACGACTGCTAATTCTAAACTGCAGTGATTCAAAACATTGTCCAAACATGTTCTGGAGATTATGAGTAATATTTTAACTTTGGCACACACTCATATTTTGAAACAATCACCAAGGACGCTGACTATAAATGTATCAAGATCTGTAAATATAAAATATAAATCTTACCTGCGATTTGCCTGCCTGCGAAAAGGTTAATCCACTTGGAACGTTTTCCGTGGTTGTGGACCTACGTTCCACATCGAATGCATCCTGCCCAACATCAGCGATTGGCAGATTGCCCAGTTTGTGAAGCAACAACGTTGGCAAATGTTGAAGCTCTTGGAAGGTCTTCGAAAGACAGCAAATATTAACGCTGATTGCCCCGGCGACTTGCTTTGAAGAGGACGAAAGCGACCAAGAAAGTGAGGCAGCCGATGACGATTGACGACGAACCAGAAGACGAACAGAACGAAACCCTCGTGAACAGTTCATTAGCAAAATTATAAAGCCCTTCGCGAAGGTCAGTCAGACAATCGCCATTTTGCCAACCGGATATGTACTTTTAATGTACAGTAATGAGTCATGCGATATTGTACCTGTCAGTCCTGGATCGTTGTGACGCATTTCCGATGCGAAATGAGATCGATGAGCTCAGATAGGTAATATTTAAAAACATGTCAGCTGTGGTGTGAGGAAAATAAGTTTAAACTGCCAAATCTACCAATTTTTTATGTGTGTGTAAAGATAGTGCAAGTGAGAGTCTGCTATTTTACGCGCGTCGAAACACTGTTATTCAAACATAAATATTTCGCGTTCTAGATCGAATTTAAAAAATCCCCCCGAGGAAATTAAAGAAGAAAGCATGCTTTATCAGAATTGGTCAGTTTTGGCGTAAAAAGTTTAATATCGAATGTCACCGAGGGCGTAGAACAAGGTGTTATTTTCTCACTCCTTTTGTTTACATTTTCGAATTTCAGGCATGCTGATTGGTCAAGAACGCAAAATGTAAACAAACGCGCTGATTGGCTAACATTATTTGCCCTTGTTCGATGCAATGGTTTATGGCCCCCTTGATGCTTGACACTTATGCATTTTAATTTTACAGAATATTTTCGGTTATTGTCTTCTCAGTATTCTCCAATGTCAAAGTCATGTTTTGTAGGTTCTATATCACAATAGTGGCACCACAACTTGTCAGGTTCAACTGCCTATTCAAATTTGATTTATTTGTTTTACTTTTTTGGTGTTAGCGCAGCGACTGTTGACCACTAAAACGTCCTGACTGACCTCGCCTATTCTAAACATTCCTCGCAGGTAATGTCCGCGTATGCCTGCAGCCTTTTGGCAACTCTGTCAAGGGTGTGTTGAAGCACATTTACCTTGCGATAGTTCGAATGTAGTCCAACTCTAATGCTAACCATGCATAATATAGTACAATGAACTTGTATAGCGACACAGGGCCAGGGATATGGTCCCAGGAAAAGTTTTTTTAGATCTAAAGTCAGTAGAGTGTCATTTTCAGTATTTTTGTGAGTTATTTCAAAACGTTTTTGCGATTTTAAATCATCTTTTAACACAAACAACTCTTTTTAATCACAAACCAATCCAAGACGTCTAAAACATAGCCAGATATAAACTTACATTAAACCAAATGACAATATAATACACATGTTTTGTACTGATCTAAACTTTCCCAAATGGGCCAGACTATTTCGCCAGGGGGAGTCATCCCCCCCCCCCTCTAGTTTGTCAATGCAACATCCTTATCTGAAATAGCGTTGCAAGCTGCAGCAAGAATCGCTTCTTGTAACATAAACTTAAGTAGTCTATTGACGATCCAACATTTCGACACGCCAGTTAGGGATAACGGGACAGCGTGGTTCCTTATATACACTATGTGATTTATAATAAACGCCTGGGTCTTCATTTAAACTCTCGTACTTGAACGAAGGAATCGTTTACAAGACAAGAGGCGCCATTAGATGTAAGAGGGACATCAGCAACGCAGCTTTACGTTTCATAAACAACAATCCCAGCTGTTTGAACTATAGCACCATCATCCATGTTCCACAATAAGTGTTTAATTAAAATAAACATACGTGTAGAGTTGGTTATGGGGCACTTATTAAAGACTATAGACAATTACGAGACCACTTGTAGCAATCAAGGGATGATTACCAGCTCCCATTTCTTATAGACCAAAGTACAACCTGGTTCCCAGGATTTCCCTATTATGGAGGAAATCTCTGGTTGGAGCTGGTCACGTGGGCTTTAAAAAAATGATTTCATGCCTATGGGGGAAGGGAAAAATCTCAATTCTGCACATTACACTTCGATTGCGAAGGAGTGAAGTGTTCTGTCTCACTGTCTATTTTGTACAATCAACATTGAGAATCATTTATACTTCAAACCGCTTGCTAAATTTGATTTCTGTTTGCTTTTAAGGTATGATAACACGCTAAACAGAATTATATAGCAACAGACAAGTCAGAAAATCAAGCAATAAAATCGTATGATCGCATGTTTGAAACAGTAATTAATTATTATGTTTACTTGGGGTTTGGTCGCGGTTTCATTTCAGGTGTTTCTATTTGAGGTCGTAGCGCCTTGCAGGTCGTTTAGCACGCGTTACATACTTAAACAATGGCCAAATAGACAATATAAAACAGTTTATAGTCATTACACTGAACGTAAAACTGTCTATCGGCTTTTAAAAAAAATTAGATTATTATCATTTTTATTAAACACCAGGCATATAAGAGGCATGCAGGAAAACCTAAAAACAATGTCAGAGATTTTACATTACAGAATTATAAGACGGTTGCTTTTCCTATTTTTTCAGCACGGATACCTTCATGTTGAAGCCAAAAAATTCTATAGCCATTTACCTAATATTTCATGTAGCCTTTCAAACCTTGCCCATTGAAAAGATTTTGCCAAGTATTTCTACAAATTCTCTACATTTTGTGAGGGATATATACCCAATTCATAAACGGTGCATACGCTGCGCACGCGAAGTATCGCACAGACATAAAAGCATTACTTGATGAGTTTTAAAGTATTCAACTTGTACCGCACACATAAAACGCACGGAGGAGTCTTGCTGTACTTTGATATGATCATTCTGGATCTTTAAGTTTCAGCAATTGCAACGCCTAGATAACTTTAAAGTCACCTCAGTGACCTAACAGGTTTTTAACCTGCCATTCCTGCGCTTTCACATACGTACATAATCAGCGATTATACATATCAGTAAAATTCGGGGGCCCGGTGCAAATTTTTCTAGACATTAAAAACATGTGTTTTTGGACCCATATCTGTAAAATTTACGTTTAGAAAATGTTTTCTCATATCATTATTTATGTCAACAAACGTTCCAAATTATTTTTTTTTAATTTTTCAAATTTGCCCCCCCCCCCCTTAAACTAGGGCCAGGGGCAAATTGCCCCTCTGCCCACTCCCCACCCCTGAAAAGCCCTGTACGTAATATACAGTTGGTGATGTTTCGAAAATCAAGGGATCTCGTTATCAAATAAATAATTTGTTTTGAATATCGGACAGTTCAATTAACAATCATATCGATCGGTCGGTGTACAAGATATGTGTGTTTCTACTGCGAAGCGTGTTCGACCTCGCAAGCCAGGCTCTTTCAAAACCGTTCAACTTTGCAAGCAGTAGCGTGATCTCCAGCTTCTCGCTTAAAAAGTAACACAACACTTATTATTGATGACATGTTTTAGACTGTTCCTTTCACGATTTCTTTTCGTAAGTTAAATTTGTCGCAAAGACGTACAGTAAGTTGCAATTTTTCAGACTCCCTTCCGTATAAGGAATACTTCAATTGAGCACGCGAACTGCGGGGGCATGTCACCAAAAAGTACATAATATTACTGAATGTTATTATGTATGCTTACTAGAATCTACATATAATCGATCCATAAGACAAGGCCTCTTTATTACATGCACTTGTATCCTATTCTGAATTTATTACAGGCTTTCCTTGGTAGAGATGCAACTACCTGGAAAATAAAAGGAGAATGTTGACATTTTGAGCAAAGGCCATTCGTCTGGTGTAACTTGGATTGTAACTCCAGACGAAGAGCCTTCATTCGAAAGACGAAATTCTCCTTTCAGGTAGTTGCAACCCTACCAACGAAAGCTTGTTAATTTTATTGGCACTACCTATATATACACTGGCACAGACTATTCTGAACTTAGTCTATTTAATTAATAAGAATAGTTACCTGAAAATGCACCAATACTCAATCGAAACCCATCTTGTTCGTTTCCAACTTCAAAAGAACTGTATTCAGCAAATCTCTCGTTTCCTTCAAAATCTTCAAGGTCGATTCGAAGTTTGTATTTTCCACTGGTTGTAATGCGATGAAGCTTGTCCAATCCAAGCCAGAACTCGCCAGACAAATGACCAAATCCTTCCTTGTATCCTGTCCATCCAAGATAGAAGTCAACGGATCCGTCATAGCGATGTTGAAACACTGTCCATCCCCCACCATTCATATCACACATTACAGCGAAATTTCCGTGGCCATCGGGATAGATTTGATAGATGTCGTTAATCTTGTTTCCTGACTTATAATGGTCAAAACAACTCTTTGCTGAAAATTGAGCAAGTAATTGCTGAGGAATAAAAGTCAATATGTTATAATATTGGCTTGCATGTAATTAATGCTTTCACTGAAATCAGGGAGCTCATATACAGATATACTGCACATATATATATATATATATATATATGGAAGAGGGCGCGCACTAGAGCACAGACGACGAAACGGTTATGCCGCCGCCCCTGATATATGTTTCTTGTGCGTACTCCACCCATATTTATATTTTTATTCGATCAGGCGTCTTTGTTTTTCCTCCTTCAAAATAAAGAAAAAACTGTTCAAGTTTATTAATTGGTCTTGGACTTCTTTGCACTCCTAATTCGAATCTAAATATGCATTTCGTATAGTTACATCTTGCATAATTTCCCTAGTCTGCGAGCTTTTGAAGACTGGCACAACTAGAACAAGTTTAAAAAGGTACATATGTTTAATGTGTACAAATTTGAAGCGCACGCTTTACACATATTTAATTAAAATTATAATATAGTCATTCACCGTATATGAGCTATTCTGCAATCTGATTGGTTGAATTACTCGCCGTATATTAGCTCATATACGGCGAGGAGCGAAAAACAAGATGGCGGTTCAAAAACTACATGTGTTTTGCGAAGCAGAAAAAAGGAAAATATTCGCTTTGAGAAAGATACTAGTACAAGGAAAAGCTCTCAAAAAAATTTGACAGGTTAGCAAAATACATTTATTACGTAGAAATTAGTTTAAATACAAGTTTTTTAAAGAATTAATACCGAAACAACAGCGAAAAAAACATGTTCATTGAGAATATAAATTGTTCAGAAAACTTTGCAACGAAAGACAAATGAATTTGCAGTCAACAAGCACTTACTATACTACCAAACATCTGTATAATATATCTGAGCTTTTCTGTGAGATATACCGGTTCGGTTCTAAAACCATTTCTTCAAGGTCAAGCGGTTTTTGGCCGAACAAATTGTCAAGACATTGCAACAGAGGATAATGAATTATTGCTTCAGTTAATGGCTATTAAACTATTATAAAACAATTATACCATTCGCTCTCGTCGTATATGGCTGATAGCCGACTCGGTGTTACGAACCTCGTCGGCTATCAGCTCATATACCACTCGAGATCATGGTATAATTGCTAAATATATCAACTATATAGTTTATATAGTTAAATGCTATAGAAAACGTCTTTTGTTTCGTTTGAGAATCACTTCAATCACGTGCGTATCATGTTCGTCTTCATTTGAACGAAGAGAGCAAAGTTGCGGTGTTTCAGTGTAATTGTCTCCCCAAGGTGAACAACCTATACCCCCAAGCATTTGCACAATGCCACAATACGAGGTTTAGATATAATCCCATGTCATGTTAAAAAATGCAAAGGCATTAATCTGTAAATTATATTAAACAAATAAGATTATTATAGAAAAAAAGCTGGGGTTTTCAGCTCTTGCATTGGGTAGCTTCCCCAAATTTTTTCAAATTTTAATGCCTAGCCCGCTGGTCATGTCTTTTTTCTTTTAACTCCAGGATGCTGCTACCCTATTAAAGCAATTAACATCGTTAGCGCGCACCGGAGTGTAAACTTGGGATGGCTTGTTGCGGATTATTTTAATTTGTCATTGCATAATATATGAATGATAAAAGTAGGCTATATCGCAATTGATAGTCCGAAGCAAAGGCGACGTTAGCGCCTGTTCGCCTGTGCAAATATTCAAGTTTTTTTTGTCATTCGATGATGATGGCACTATTGCACGAAAGCTTAACCATTGAAGCTATAAGTTAATTAATTGTAGGTACATATCATATCTCTTTCGCGTAACATGTGTACGTCACACATCCCTTTTTCGTCCTAATTAATGCAATGTGCAATACGAAATACTTTGTTCTGATCATTATTCAATATCCCGTAACTTTATAGGTGACTAGCGGCAATATTTGACAATTATTGAATGAGGTTGAGCACGATATGAAGAATTATCAAGCCAGAAGTTTGCCGTTATCAACCGAAGCCGAAGGCTGAGGTTGATAACGGCAAACTGAGGGCTTGATAATTCTTCATATTGTGCGAAAACCGAATTCAGTAATTGTTTTATTATTTATTTAAAAAATTTAAAACAATCGGAAGACATTTGTATTTTGATCTGTATTAAGAAAAAAACAATTCCCTAATCCTTCGGCAGCCGTCGTCGTCGTCATATCAATGGCGTCAGCGAGTCAATATGGTTTCGTCGTCATAGTAATGTGGCGCAAACGCGCCCAAATTTTTTTCATATTGACTCTTTGACGTCATTTTGCTATTATGAATGTGAAAAATCCATATTTTGTTAGCCATTGGGTTATGACAATTTCACAGTTGGCCGTTAGCCAATCAGAAACCAGGAATTTGTTAAATAAATAATAAATATAGTTGAAGTGTTAGAAAAAAATACGTCGCTAAAGTAGATCAAATTTAATGTGTACTTTCATGTTGAAAATGGAAGACGAGTCACAATGAGATTAGCCATTGATATTAATTGTGTTATATTTCTCACTGACTAATATTTTATCGTTTACGTCACAATTCTATGTTTTGTCAACCGTCAAGTGTAATCAGTGATACGCATATATAAGAATTGGCTGTCAGCAATTCGAGATATAAATGACAATTATTACAAACATGTATTGTACATATTCTAACAATTTAAGAACGTGCTGATAAGTGTTTCGGTAGCATTTTATCTTGATTTTTGAATATAGATTTTCACTGACTTCCTGACGAAGGGCCTATAATCTCGAAACGTTTCTATTTCTTCTTAAACTAGAGAAACGTTACTTCTAAACTTTCGACTCCATTTTGTAATTTTTTTTAATATTGCCGGTCCGAGCGGGCAACACTGATATTTTCACTTATTGCCCACGGTAATAAGATTCATTCATTTATCTTTATATAGCGTTTTTCTAAATCCATGCAAGTGCCAAGAAAAAGACCAATCACATTCTAGTAAGCACTAGCTATAATTACGACAAACTTAATGTTGAACCGTTTACCTTTATAACAGCCATAAACTTCAAATCTCATGGATATATAACCATGCCAAGATCTTGGTTGTATACGAATATAACGCGCAGTTATTGCAGGAGAAAAAGAATTTGTAACGATAGATTGCTGGTCACTATTTCCACTGAATACCTGTTTATGAAATAATTGATAAAAAGTGGTAACTTATAATTGCGCAGAATATTAAAGTCATTCTACTTTGCTTGTTATTTATTCAATCTAATTTGCCAAGCAAAATTACATGCATAACGTTCAAAGTATAATTCTTAAAACACTATGCTGAACATAATAATGATCAACGGCGCTTTAAATTGATTGCTATACCGACCAGGCCAGAATTTCGTTTCCTGTATGAATGAAAAAGTCGGGTACAGGGTTTCCGAAAATTAGGCCAAATGAGATTATACTGAATGTCATAAACATACTCGTTTATATTCATTGATATAAAATTCATTATTTCCAGTTTTCGATCCGTCTTGACCGTGCAGTTTAATTGGTAGAGCATCATCCAGTAATGAATTTGAAGGTCGCGGATTCAAAATGCGGCCGGGGTTGAAAAGAATTAGGGAGTTTAAGCTTCACGTTTCCGAGAACGGCCAGTGGCAGGTTCGAACTTTCTTGGCAAAAGTTTCGTTGAACGTTTTCGTTTCATATTTTCTTTCTTGTGTCGAAAGTATAATCATGAATTGCAGTTTTAAAACAGCAAGTTCATTTACTCTTTATTACCTGATGCCGTAAATTTTTCTTCGCCTGGCGTTTGCCGTTTGAACAGGGGCGAAACTAGCCCCTTTTAATTCGGGGAGTGTCTGGCAGAATTGCCCAGCGAATGCCTATGTTGCATGCCCTGCTGCAATTTTGTTTTTTTCGGGCCACTATTTTTCCCAAAAATTGATTCGTATTTTTGGTGGGAGGGTGTCACCTCACCCATTCACCCCCTCAAGTTTCGCCCCTGCGTTTGACGTATAACGCGAAACTTAAACTCTCTATTTTCTGCTTGCGAGGTCAGGAAATTATGAAACATTTCACTCGAAAATATTTTCTCCTTAGAATTTCTAACCTTAACAACACCATCAATTTTGTAAGGTTCAGGCGCATTTGCATTGGAACCATAAGACACGGAATAAGTCATCACCCATTGGGCATACTGAACACCCCGACCTTGCGTGGCAATCGCTGTTATAACCCCTTCTCTGCCAAGATCAACTTGAATCCATTCGTTCTCATTATTTGGTTTGGTTGACCAGGATGGCGCGCGATTCAACCGTCCTTTTGTTGTTGATGAAGTTGCATCGTGAATACTTGAAGCCGTTATCTGGGAGTCCTGAATCATTCCATTCTGCATTCCAAATGCCGCTTCACCAGACTTGCACGGTCCTACACGTATAACAAATGTATTATAACTTCATGCCAATTACCACCAAAATATATTGAACATCCCAAAGCTAGTTTTTCGCAACAAAATATGAAAGGAGAGGGGTCAATGGAAAAATAATAAAGATTAATAGACAATTCCCATTATAGACTAATTTTTGAACTAGGCAAGGAGATGCGCGCGAATAAGTCACCACAGCTAGAAAGAGCATACTAGAATTGAGTAAATTGCAAAGTTTAGTTGCAAAATGTTGTAAAATACGGAAAATATAGGCTTACATAATTTGCAAATTTTGTATACTTTTGTATTGCTTGCGTGGATTGCTACCATTTTCGCCCTGCACATGTGGTACGTAGCAATTTCCGCACGCAATACAAAATATACAAAACTTGCGAACTTTGTAAGGCTATATTTTACAACATTTCGCAACCACACCTTGCAATTTCACTTTAGTATGCTCTTTCGGGGAATATACCTTTTTTGCCAAGATAAAAAATTAGTTTATAATGGGAATTGTCTATTAAAGTAAGAGAATTGGTGAAAATATTGAATACAAAAAGAGAATCGGCTACTGGTACTCGATCTGGTACTCGATACCAGAAAACAGTACACATCGACAATTAGCATATACTTGGGAGGTGGACAGTGTTTTTCACGCATTGGTTTCTCCGGTAACTTAACCGACGAATTTGAATTTCTGCAAACACAAAGAGGCCACAAAATTTTTTCTAGCATGCTGTAGTGTGTTGAGATATTCTTTGAAACTATTTCTGAATAAAATTAATAAGCTTCTAATAACACTTTTGTTTTCAACTATATGCTATTGGGTATAGTTGTAATACAAATTCTTTATTTTCGACCTACCAACGAAAGTTTCATTATATATCTTTCTATTCGTTTTTTTTTCTTAAAGTGGAGAAACGTTACTTTTATAAACCTTCGACATTTCATTAAATACATTTATTGACGTTGCCGGTCGCAACGCGCAACATTTTTTCACTTATTCCCCGACAAGATGCATTCATTTGTCTTTATACAGCGTTTACCTAAACCCATGAAAGTAACAAAAAAATAGCAAATCACATATATATATATATATATATATATATATATATATATATATATATATATATATATATATATATATATATATATATATATATCACAAGCACTAGCTATAAATATAACAATACATAATGTTGAATCTTTTACCTGTAGAACAGCCATAAACTTCAAATCTCATGGATATATAACCATACCAATTGATTGGTTGAATACGAATATAACGGGCAGTTATTGGAGGAGAAAAGGAATTTGTAACGACAGACTGCTGGTCATTATTTCCACTGAATACCTGTTTATGAAATAATACACAAAAGGTAGTAACTTGCGCAAACTTTTAACGTCTTCCAGTTTGTTACTAACTAAGTAATCAAAACATGATTTACTAAACATAATATGATTACGTAAACACTAGATAAACTTCATAAGGACTAACTGCGCTTTAATTTGATTGCTAGACCGACCAGACCAGACCAGAATTTTGTTTCCTACTTTAATTAATGAAAAAGTCGGCCTGGTGCAGGGCTTTCGAAAATTAAGCCAAATCAGATTATACTGAAAATCATAAATATACTCGTTTATATTTGATTAATATAAACGAATATAGAACAAAAATTATTCCGAATAAGGAGTGCATAATATTACTATACAGTTTTTTTATAAATTATGTGTTAATATTAATATGCACTCCTTATTCGGAATAATATTTTTTCTATATTTGCTGAAATTATCAGCAGGGAAAGGACAAACGAGTATGTTTACGACATTAAGTGTAGAGTTCATTGATTCCAGTTTTCGATGCGACCTGGTAGAGCATCGTCTAGTAACATGAAAGTCGCGGATTCGAAATCCGACCTGGGGGCGGGAACAATTTTCTGCTAGCGCGATCTGGAAAATATGAAATATTTCACTCAAGAACATTTTCTCCTTGCATGTAGATTTCTTTGGCTTTCCTTAAGGCCCGTGCATTTTCACTCAAGATAACTTTCCACGGACAGAAAATTTTCCGAAAATGTCATTGTTAAAAGTTGAAAATTTTCACCTTGAAAATTTTTTTCAGACGGAAAATTTGTGTCGGCCAATCAAATTTCACAAAATTTTCTTTCCGCGGAAAATTTTCCGAGTGGAAATGGGCCTTTAGCCTTCCTTAACAACGTTCAAAAACCACAATTATTATTTCTAACCTTAACAACACCATTAAGTTTGTAAGGCTCGAACGCACTTCCATTGAAACCATAAGACACTGAATAAGTATCTACCCATTGGGGATGATTACGCCGGCCTTGCGTACCAATCGCTGTGACAACTTCTTCTCTGCCAAGATCAACTTGAATCCATTGGTTCTGGTCATTTCGAAGTGCAGACCAGGATGACTGGCCATTCAACCGTCCTTGTGTTGTTGATAGACCTGCACCGTGAATAGTTGAAGCCGTTATCTGGGAGTCCTCAATCCTTCCATTCTGCATTCCAAACGCCGGTTCACCTGACTTGCAAGGCCCTACACGTATTACAAATATATTATAACTCTATGCCAATTACCACCAAAATATATTGAATCTTGTTTTCGCTCACTACACTGGTTTAATTAAATAAATTAATACAAAGCCCATTCTAATTGTAATAAGACCCACCTTTCGACATCCGATTACCCCGGATGAAGACACTAGACTGGAGTGTCGAAACGTTGGGTCTTGATTACAATTCGACTGGGCTATATACTTGGGAGGTGGACAGTGTTCTGACGCAGTGACCTCTCCGTTTATACTTCCGGTTACTTAACTGACGAATTTGCATTTCTGGGAAATGCAAAGAAATCCACAAAGTTTTCTTTAGTATTCGTGCAGCAGAGTGTTGAAGTATTCTTTAAAACTATTTCTAGTGAATAAAATTAATAATCTTCTAATAACCCTTTCGTTTACAACTATTGCGGTAGTTGTAACACAAATTCTTTATTTTCGTTTTCTGTTATTTTTGTCTTGTTATCGTACATGCTAAAACTACAAGTATCCTTGCACTATTTACGCATACATCGGTGAATAATTGTTAATCATTCGACTGGGTGACGAGTCCTTGCTTTACTGCAAACAGTATTACTTCAAGGAGCCATCACGAATGATTCATATATAGTTATATATAACATGGCCAGAAATCACGGACATGCATGATTTATTCTACTGCCTTCGTAATTTGCATATCACGTTGAAATATGGCTTCTCGGCAGTATGTAAATTATATTACGCGATGCTGTAAATCCCCAAATCAGAAAATATGGTAGGTTATTTGCAACTTGCCTCAGTTGCTGGCTATAAATCAAAATCTGTCGAAGTATTTAGCGTAATGTTGACTTGCTTTTAGTTAGTGACCATTCTGCATTTTCAGTATTTGTACAGAGGTTAGTTTGCACTGAATTTGTCTATTTAACTCTATATAATAATACCTCACTATACACAGTAGAAACAAACCAAAATCCAGAATAGGCAGTAACTTACACCAGGAAAACACTACACGATGTATTTCAACAGACCGTGTTCTGCAACCAGCTATCGAGGCAAATTGCAAACGACTACCAATATTCTCTGATTTGATGATTTAAAGCATCGCGTAATATAATTTACTGTTTACTATCGAAGCCATATCATAGAATAAAGATCCATATAGAAGGGCCACTTACGTCTGAAGCCTTGAAGTTTCTGTCCTCGCGCATGTCGTATTACGCATGTTGGCCGCCATTTTCCTAGCCAGTCAATGACATTTTCTGGCCAATAAACACGCTGTACTGGCTGGCTTCTCCGCCTTCTGGCCAGTAAACTGCATATTTTTGCATAAAAAAACGAGGATACGTTGCACCGCTGAGTGGCCCTTCTGTTACTGATCTTTATTCTGTGGCCATATTTCAACGGGTTATGCATTAATGATATGCAAATTAGTAAGGAAGTAGAATAATCATATCCGTGATTTCTGGCCATGACAGGGATATGCTTGTTCCTTCTTCTGTTTTAAGACAGCCCACGTTCTGATTTGCTTGACTTTGTCAGGTTTTCGTGCTTCTCCAAGGTATTATTAAAGGATGGTTATGGAGAAAGGAATGTGTACTTTCACGTACCCATCTGAGTGGCATGAGAATGAAGCGACCTAACCTGAGTATCAGGCTCTATTTTACAAATAAGAGCCTGACACAAACCTTAATCCGTTCGCTTTCCGCCCACAGCAAAGTTTATATTTAGTATCCAATCAAAATGTCGCAGGAGAAATTTAAATTTCATACAACGACAATCACAATCTAATTATAGTTGTGATCACTATCAATTTATCAACGACAATGGTATAATCTAATTACCACTAACCAATCAAATTACAGATTAAACTAGAAAATACATGCATGCAGAAACCCTCGCCTCCTGACAAAACCATCGTATTTTCCGAACGTGAAATATTTAAAGTAGTTGTCATGGTAACACGATAATTTTTTAAGAATATTTTTACAAATGAAAAATCCCCAGAGATATCACTTTTAATTACAAAATTATCAATTTCCCAAACATATATATGTTAGGTATGTTATTATACGTAATATAAGCTTCAATTTAAGGTAAAAGTCAACCACAAACGCTTCGCAAAACGTTTTAAAGTGCTCTTTTAATATAGAACTAAAATTAACTGCCTTTATCGATAAACTTTGGGTTCGAAATAAAATGATTCCAAATTTTCCTATGCAAATAACTTTGCTTAGTATAATAAAAAGGGTAATCAGTAAAGAAACACTGAAATAATAACGCGGGCTATGCTTGCAGGCTCACTATCAGTTCCCTTGGGCCTGCACGCGGGCTATACGCTGTCTTGTTTCATATTTATACAAACGATCGGCTTTTAAAGTAATTACAGTATATTAAAAGCAAACAATGCATCAATATTTAAAACAAACTTACCTTCGTTAACGTCGGCACCTTTACTCCCTTCTTTTAGCAATACTTTTGCCTTTATTTCATCAAAAATCTTTTGAAATTTACAAAATCTTGCGAAAATGAAATATATTTGCAAGAAATCATCAAAATATCAATTTCGCTGACGTCATGCAGCCGTTATAATGCCAATTTTAAATTGGACCAATCAGTGTTGGCTATTCATGACAGTCCGCTATATTATGAGATCAGTGAGGATGACCACCCACCGAAACACGCACAGTGACCCACGCCCGCGATTATTGATGAACTTTAGACTTCGCTAATGTTTCGTTTCCCCCGGATGTAAATAGCCGGGAGGAATTAGTACCCTCGCACGGCGTTCCTTCTCCGAAGCTTTGTTTTCTGGGCATTTGACAAACATTAAAGTTAGCACAATTTTTGGGATAATTTGAATAGGAGTAAGAATCCTCCTAGTCGATATATTTAAGTAAACAAAACGATATTTATTAATACGTATATGTT